TGGATGCCAAAGAACCCAATGTCAAGCTTAAATTGTGAATTGCTGTCCAAAACCGCGCCTTCGTACTCCTTGAGAACGCCCACCACCGGATATTTTTGGTCAAAGTAGGATTTCCTGCATATCACCAGCAAATTGTTAGAAGAAACTTATCTGCCGACCCCGCCAATGGTAGGGTTGTTGCCAGTCTTTCTTCAGTGGGTTACTGACAAACATTTCCAAGTCGTCACCCACTCTGTTTGGGATTCTACAATATTCTACAGAGTTTTCACACGTCAAACAAACAGTACCACCTGTATTGCTTACATGGTGCAATCCTGTTTCGAGTTTCAAGGGCCCACACAATCTTTTTCGGTCTCTATGGTCACGTTGGACATTGCCGCCTGAGCTGTTAGGTCCGTTAGGTAGCTGTTTCGGTTGGATTTGGGTCAGTTTTCGCGCAGCTAAATATGATGCAATCCTGCTTCGATGCCTTGTGCCAGGTCAGGAGGGGGTAGGTCCCAAGCAAGAATTTACTTTTTCTCAGTCGTGACGAGATTGGTATGTCATTATGATTCATTATGATGATATGATCACACTGCGAAGTGATAGTGTGTTTGTCAACACGAGTTTGAGGGTTGTTCAAGCACTTTGGGCTAGACCTTGTCAGCTTTTGCTGGGACTGTGCCTTGATCAAATTATGTAGCCAGCTTCATCAACCTTCATAATTCATAATGTTTGTGCCTATGCCAGGTTCACGGAGGCAACAGTTTCTTTGCCACCGTCGTATATCCGAGATTCATCAGAAATAAGGCATTCATTAGGTATCGTGGATTGCCCTTGCCCTATCCAGCACCAACAAAGAGTGAGTGACAAGTGTGTGTGGAAGCCATCGCTAGTAGGTTGGAGGCCATTGCTGCTAGGATGGAGGCCATCGCTATTAGGTTGGAGGACATCGCTATTGGGTTGGAGGCCATTGCTACTAGGTTGGAGGCCATCGCTATGAGGTTGGAGGCCATCGCTATTAGGTTGGAGGCCATTGCTTGTAGGTTGGAGGCCATTGCTATTAGATTGGAGGCCATCGCTATTATCATGGAGGCCATCGCTATTCATTAGGTTGGAGGCCATTGGTATTAGGTTGGAGGCCATGGCTATTAGGTTGTAGACCATCGCTAGTAGGTTGGAGGCCATTGCTATTAGGTTGGAAGCAACGATATTAGGTTGTAGGCCATTGCTAGTTTAGGTTGGAGGGCATCGCTATTAGGTTGGAGGCCATTGCTAGTAGGTTGGAGGCCCTCGCTATTTGGTTGGAGGCCATCGCTATTAGGTTGGAGGCCATCGCTATTAGGTCGGAGGCCATTGCTATTAGGTTGGAGGCCATCGCTATTAAGTTGTAGG